TCACTTTTCTTCGTCACCCGGCACAGAATCCTTCAAAATTTCATTACACAAACTCAATTTTTTTTGCTAAAAACGCATTTACTTTCTCATTTGAGCTTCTATGTACATTTCAAACCATTCCAGGGCTATGAAAAAAATTTTTTTCTCATTTTTTTCTCACTTTTTCTTCGTCGTTCGGAACGAGTTTCCTTCAAAAATTTCATTACACAAACTCAATTTTTTTGCTAAAAAAACGCATTTACTTTCTCATTTGAGCTTTTATGTACATTTCAAACCATTCCAGGGCTATGAAAAAAATTTTTTTCTCATTTTTTTCTCACTTTTTCTTCGTCGTTCGGAACGGGTTTCCTTCAAAAATTTCATTACACAAACTCAATTTTTTTGCTAAAAACGCATTTACTTTCTCATTTGAGCTTCTATGTACATTTCAAACCATTCCAGGGCTATGAAAAAAATTTTTTTCTCATTTTTTTCTCACTTTTTCTTCGTCGTTCGGAACGAGTTTCCTTCAAAAATTTCATTACACAAACTCAATTTTTTTGCTAAAAAAACGCATTTACTTTCTCATTTGAGCTTCTATGTACATTTCAAACCATTCCAGGGCTATGAAAAAAATTTTTTTCTCATTTTTTTCTCACTTTTTCTTCGTCGTTCGGAACGGGTTTCCTTCAAAAATTTCATTACACAAACTCAATTTTTTTGCTAAAAACGCATTTACTTTCTCATTTGAGCTTCTATGTACATTTCAAACCATTCCAGGGCTATGAAAAAAATTTTTTTCTCATTTTTTTCTCACTTTTTCTTCGTCGTTCGGAACGAGTTTCCTTCAAAAATTTCATTACACAAACTCAATTTTTTTGCTAAAAAAAAACGCATTTACTTTCTCATTTGAGCTTCTATGTACATTTCAAACCATTCCAGGGCTATGAAAAATTTTTCTCATTTTTTTCTCACTTTTCTTCGTCGTTCGGAACGGGTTTCCTTCAAAATTTCATTACACAAACTCAATTTTTTGCTAAAAAAAAACGCATTTACTTTCTCATTTGAGCTTCTATGTACATTTCAAACCATTCCAGGGCTATGAAAAATTTTTCTCATTTTTTTCTCACTTTTCTTCGTCGTTCGGAACGAGTTTCCTTCAAAATTTCATTACACAAACTCAATTTTTTGCTAAAAAAAAACGCATTTACTTTCTCATTTGAGCTTCTATGTACATTTCAAACCATTCCAGGGCTATGAAAAATTTTTCTCATTTTTTTCTCACTTTTCTTCGTCGTTCGGAACGAGTTTCCTTCAAAATTTCATTACACAAACTCAATTTTTTTGCTAAAAAACGCATTTACTTTTCTCATTTGAGCTTCTATGTACATTTCAAACCATTCCAGGGCTATGAAAAAAATTTTTTTCTCATTTTTTTCTCACTTTTTCTTCGTCGTTCGGAACGGGTTTCCTTCAAAAATTTCATTACACAAACTCAATTTTTTTGCTAAAAAAACGCATTTACTTTCTCATTTGAGCTTTTATGTACATTTCAAACCATTCCAGGGCTATGAAAAAAATTTTTTTCTCATTTTTTTCTCACTTTTTCTTCGTCGTTCGGAACGGGTTTCCTTCAAAATTTCATTACACAAACTCAATTTTTTGCTAAAAAAAAACGCATTTACTTTCTCATTTGAGCTTCTATGTACATTTCAAACCATTCCAGGGCTATGAAAAAAATTTTTTTCTCATTTTTTTCTCACTTTTCTTCGTCGTTCGGAACGGGTTTCCTTCAAAATTTCATTACACAAACTCAATTTTTTTGCTAAAAAAACGCATTTACTTTTCTCATTTGAGCTTCTATGTACATTTCAAACCATTCCAGGGCTATGAAAAATTTTTCTCATTTTTTTCTCACTTTTCTTCGTCGTTCGGAACGGGTTTCCTTCAAAATTTCATTACACAAACTCAATTTTTTGCTAAAAAAAAAACGCATTTACTTTCTCATTTGAGCTTTTATGTACATTTCAAACCATTCCAGGGCTATGAAAAAAATTTTTTTCTCATTTTTTTCTCACTTTTTCTTCGTCGTTCGGAACGAGTTTCCTTCAAAAATTTCATTACACAAACTCAATTTTTTTGCTAAAAAAACGCATTTACTTTTCTCATTTGAGCTTCTATGTACATTTCAAACCATTCCAGGGCTATGAAAAATTTTTCTCATTTTTTTCTCACTTTTCTTCGTCGTTCGGAACGAGTTTCCTTCAAAATTTCATTACACAAACTCAATTTTTTGCTAAAAAAAAACGCATTTACTTTCTCATTTGAGCTTCTATGTACATTTCAAACCATTCCAGGGCTATGAAAAATTTTTCTCATTTTTTTCTCACTTTTCTTCGTCGTTCGGAACGGGTTTCCTTCAAAATTTCATTACACAAACTCAATTTTTTGCTAAAAACGCATTTACTTTCTCATTTGAGCTTTTATGTACATTTCAAACCATTCCAGGGCTATGAAAAAAATTTTTTTCTCATTTTTTTCTCACTTTTTCTTCGTCGTTCGGAACGGGTTTCCTTCAAAATTTCATTACACAAACTCAATTTTTTTGCTAAAAACGCATTTACTTTCTCATTTGAGCTTCTATGTACATTTCAAACCATTCCAGGGCTATGAAAAAAATTTTTTTCTCATTTTTTTCTCACTTTTTCTTCGTCGTTCGGAACGAGTTTCCTTCAAAAATTTCATTACACAAACTCAATTTTTTTGCTAAAAAAACGCATTTACTTTCTCATTTGAGCTTCTATGTACATTTCAAACCATTCCAGGGCTATGAAAAAAATTTTTTTCTCATTTTTTTCTCACTTTTTCTTCGTCGTTCGGAACGGGTTTCCTTCAAAATTTCATTACACAAACTCAATTTTTTTGCTAAAAAAACGCATTTACTTTTCTCATTTGAGCTTCTATGTACATTTCAAACCATTCCAGGGCTATGAAAAAAATTTTTTTCTCATTTTTTTCTCACTTTTTCTTCGTCGTTCGGAACGAGTTTCCTTCAAAATTTCATTACACAAACTCAATTTTTTTGCTAAAAAACGCATTTACTTTTCTCATTTGAGCTTCTATGTACATTTCAAACCATTCCAGGGCTATGAAAAAAATTTTTTTCTCATTTTTTTCTCACTTTTTCTTCGTCGTTCGGAACGGGTTTCCTTCAAAAATTTCATTACACAAACTCAATTTTTTTGCTAAAAAACGCATTTACTTTTCTCATTTGAGCTTCTATGTACATTTCAAACCATTCCAGGGCTATGAAAAAAATTTTTTTCTCATTTTTTTCTCACTTTTTCTTCGTCGTTCGGAACGAGTTTCCTTCAAAATTTCATTACACAAACTCAATTTTTTTGCTAAAAAAACGCATTTACTTTTCTCATTTGAGCTTCTATGTACATTTCAAACCATTCCAGGGCTATGAAAAAAATTTTTTTCTCATTTTTTTCTCACTTTTTCTTCGTCGTTCGGAACGAGTTTCCTTCAAAAATTTCATTACACAAACTCAATTTTTTTTGCTAAAAACGCATTTACTTTCTCATTTGAGCTTTTATGTACATTTCAAACCATTCCAGGGCTATGAAAAATTTTTCTCATTTTTTTCTCACTTTTCTTCGTCGTTCGGAACGGGTTTCCTTCAAAAATTTCATTACACAAACTCAATTTTTTTGCTAAAAAACGCATTTACTTTTCTCATTTGAGCTTTTATGTACATTTCAAACCATTCCAGGGCTATGAAAAAAATTTTTTTCTCATTTTTTTCTCACTTTTTCTTCGTCGTTCGAACGGGTTTCCTTCAAAATTTCATTACACAAACTCAATTTTTTTGCTAAAAAAACGCATTTACTTTTCTCATTTGAGCTTCTATGTACATTTCAAACCATTCCAGGGCTATAAAAAATTTTTCTCATTTTTTTATTCACTTTTCTTCGTCATCCGAGACATGTTTTCTTTGAAAATTGACTACACAAACTCAACTTTTTGCTCAAATTTCCTTTCTCATTTGAGCTTTTATGCGTTCCCGGGCTAGGAAACCCATTTTCTCACCTCGAACAAGTTCATATCGTCGTCATCCGGGACAGGTTCCCCGTGATAGTACACTTCCGTGTCCTCCTTGGTCCTCTCGAATTCCTCGTTATTCTGCGAAAGTTGGCAGTAAAGGTCCTGTGGGGCCTCCTCTTCCGGTACTTCCTTTTCTAGAAAAATTATCGAATAATTTCCAATTCTGGTTCGATTTCCACCTTTTTCAACGACATTGAAAGATTGTAACAATGGCATGGCCCTCATGAGCAAATCTCGTCGAGCATTTGCGTCACTGGAAAATTTTTTTATTGATTTTTATCGATTTTCACAAACGTCAAGTCAATTTCCGGCTCCTCTTCCATTGGTTCTTCGGCTGGTTCTTCCTCTTCTTCTTCTTTTTGAACCTCATGGCCTTCTTCTATAATTAAAACAAAGAAAAATGAGGGAAAAAAAGGAAAAAAATCAAAAAAAAAATTGGAAAAAATAACCGTCATGTCAATTGCGCTACACGGCTAATTTATCGAATTTTGTAATTTTTTCTGATTTTATTCATACTTTTTTCGTACATTTAGAGTCCATATATGGTGTCAAAAGCCCTAAAGTGAAAAAACGCCCAAAAATCAAACCGCTAATTCAGTGGCTTTTTTTGAGCTTAACAATTCAAGTTAAAAAAAATCCGATCGAATTTTTTATTTCTAATAAAGAAATACCGCTCTGAAATGATTATTAAGCACCGGAAAATGAAAAAATTTCCTAATTTACGCAAAACATTAAAAAAAACATCAAAAATTCAAAATTCGATTTTCGCGCCTTAACATTATCATTAGAGCGCACATTCCCCCGCAACTATTTTTTTCATTTTTTTTTCCAATAAATCAAATTTTTTTATTTTCTTATAAAGAAATACCGCTGTAAAAAAGTATTATTGACCAAAAAATGAACAAAAACCCCTAATTTATGCGAAAAATTGAAAAAACCATCAAAAATTTCAAATTTAATTTTCGCGCCTTAAGATTATCATTAGAGCGCACATTCCCCAGCAGCTATTTTTTCCATTTTTTCCCGTCAAAAATCCATCTCTAAACCATATTCCTGTTCCTCCTCGTTGTAGACGTCTTCCTCGTGTTCCACGTCCATGACGATTTCCTCGCCTTCGCCTTTCTGAAAAATCTTGAATTTTTCGAATTTTATCCTTAGGAAAAACCCGAAATGACGGTTCGTAGACATAAAAATCCGTTTCGCAACAGCTCGTGTTCTCAAGAGGATCGTATTCCTGGAAAATATCATTTTCAGACAAGTTATATAGATTTTCAACGTGAAGTTCTACGAATAAAGATAATTTTTTGGATCGGAATATCTTTCTAATGCATCGATTTTAAAGAGGAAAAATTTTTCAAAAAAACACCGAAATATTATTAAAAAAACTCAAAAAAACGTAGAAAAATTATTGTCAGGGAAACTTTAGTGATGAAAGAATGAAAAAAGCTCTAAAAATTGAGAAAATATTTCTTTTTCGGGTTCAAAAACTGTTTAGTCCATTCCTTCAACCTTCCTGGATATTCTAGGAACTCAAAGCTGAGTTAAAAGAAATTAGGAAAAGCTCAAAAGTTTGAAAAATGAGCGAAAAACCAATGAAACCAATGAAAGAAGTTGCCAAATCTGGAAAAATCAAACTTTTTTCGGAAAAAATGCGACAAGGTAATGCTTTTATTGACATTAGAGGATGAATATCGGCTTTTTTTTTTAAATTTGATCACAAACTCCTTGACCTCGTATGTAATGGGAAAGTTGTTTAGCAGTGATCGATTCACTTCGATAACAAAAAGATTATTTTGAAGATTCAAATTTTTTTCTGGAGATTTTTCTAATAGAGGTTCATCTGTAATGAAAAAAACCTCGGTAGCCAAATTTTAAAAAGTTCCTCCAAAGAATGGCTTGATAAGATTAATTTTTGGCACTTTCAAAATCTCCAAAAAGCCCTTATGGATGAGCTATGAATGACCAAAAAAATGACTTTAAATGAAAAAAATAAATAAAAATCCTCAAGCCAGAATTTATCAACTAGATTCGTAACCTTCAAACAAAATCCGAAATTTCAAAAAAATTTTTTTCGAAAAAAAGGCTCGAAAAAAACCAGGGACTTCAAATCAAAAAAATAAATGAAATCCTCAAGTATGCCCCGAAATTCAGCGTCTACGTAGCAATAGCTATTTTCATAACCTTTAAAAAAACGAAATTTTAGACAAAAAAATACAAACAAAACTCCTAGAAACCCTTAGAAATGAACTAGGAGAAATGGGAAAAGTTTTCTAAAAATAACTCGAATAAAACTCTCACGTTAAAATTATTTTCTTAAGCTTCAAGATAAATTTTTCAGATGTAATAACAATATTGTAACACTGCCAAGGTCGGAAGTACAAAAAACGGGTTCAAAAAGAAATTGACTGCAAAATGGCGGCTAAAAGGGTTCCGTTTTGCGGCCTTTATTGAGTCATTCTTTCTTGGCGGGCTAAAAAGGCTCAAAAAAGGGCGCAAAAAGGGTGCTGAGAGGCTCGGCCATTGATGATTTCCGATTTTCTTACTGTAGCACATTTTGGTTCATACAAAGTCATTGGTGAAGTATTCTCAATTCAAAAAATTTGTGTTTCTCAAAAGGGTCCAAAAAGGGTCTAAAAAGGGTTCAAACAGGGTGCAAAAAGGATGGATAAAGGCCGATGAAAGGACGGAAAAAGGCAGTAAAAAGGGAACCATTGCCACCCGTTTAGGAACAATTGATGGAAGCCTTTTGATCCGGACGCTCAAAGGGCCCTTAAAGGGTCCTTCTGAATTTCATGAAACCAAAAACCCCTATGGATGAACTATGAACCCAGATCTCTATAATAAAAAACTGGCTTCGCGAAAAAAAAATTAATAAAATTCTCAAGTGCCTCGTCTACATAAAAATAGCTACTTTTGTATTCTTCAAGACTAACTTTTGGATAAAATTTTCTGTCTCTCAAAAATCCAAGAAACTTGTATGAATGAACTAAAAAGAATGGAAGTATTTTGAAAAAAATGGGATCTTCAAGCCAAAGTTTCTTGACCTTCAAGACAATTTTTGAAATATAATCTGAATATTAGAACTCCAAAAGCCCCTATGGATGAACTATAAACCCAATCTTCCTCAGTTCCTCACCACGATAGGTTCTTCAGCCGCGGAGGTGGGCACCACCGCCGTCGATTTCTCCTCGCAGCTCGGGGCCACTTCAGTGACCACTTGACGGGTCTCCTCCTGGGTGCCGTTCTCGACGTCGACCGTCGTGTCGCGGATCACGAATTCCTCTTCTTCGTCCTCATCTTTCACGTCTTCGGCATCCGTGGGCTGTTCAGAAGTCGTCGGGAGGGGCTCTCGGCCGCCTTCCAGACGTTCCGATTCAACTTGACCATTTATTTCGTCTTCTTTATCCTCGGCCTCCTCTTCTTCGTTGCTAAAATGGAAAAAGTTGAATTTTGAGGAGTTTTTCGTGGAGATTCACCTAGCCGGATCTTCATGGAAAACGGAATTGTGGAGATTTTCGAGGAACGACTTGAATTTGTCCTTCTCGCGGGTCTCCTCTTCCGTTGGGGCTCTGAAATTGAATATTTATTTTCTTTTCGCAAAAATCGGAGAGGTAAAGGGAATATAGTCGATTCACCGCTACCTTGTCAAAATTTTCAAAAAATTCGGCCAATTTTCGAGAAAATTACTTCAAAAATCGCGACAAGACCACGGTGAATCAGCCACAAAATCATAGAAAAATCACGAAAATCGAAAAAATGAAAGATATACTAAGGACCGCATCCGTTTCACGGTTAGCTAAGCTCCGAAATCCAAGAAAAATTAACAAGCAATCCGGCTTTATTTTTGGCCATATAAATCAAGAATTTTTCAACAATCTTTTTTTCACATGCAAATCATGGCAACAGACAATATTGTACAGAGATCTTAATGATGAGGTAGTGGAAAATTAACAAATGCTATTAATAACAACATCTTCGCTGAATCGAGAGAGAAAGGTGGAAATGGATGGTAAGAAAAAAATTTGGAGGGTACTGCGCAATCCAAAAAATCTTAAAAATAGTTACAAGGGGCCTTTTATGACCTAAAAAAAAAATAAAGATTCCCTTAAAATGGTCGAAAATCGCAATTTTGGAAATTGCAAGCCATTTTTTCTACATAATCTATTTTTTTCGTTGTTCATTTTCTCTTTTTTTCGTAACTATGGGGGTTAGGAAATTCTTGAAAAAAATGGCCAAAATCCTCGAAGAGCCCTGGAAAGGTCCTAGAGTTCCGAATTTGAAAAAAATGTCTAGTTTCCGAAAGGACCTTTCAAAGTCAAAGAAAACCCTTTAAATTCTTAAAAAAATAGCCTATTTTCGGTTTTTAAAACCTCATTTTTTAAACAGCAATTTGAGCAGATTAAGCCTTTCAGGATCTTACTACGGTAAATCAAAAATGCATTCTGGCAATTTTTTTATATTTTCAAGTTAAAAATACCCATTTTTTTCGAAATCAAAGCTAAACTAAGACGTTAGGAAATGCATCTTGAGGCGCAAAAAATATTTACAAGATAGGAAAAATAACAAAAAAACGCCTCTTTGCCTCAATAGGTCTCTAGAAATCCTCCTCAAATCTTGAAAATCGCCCAGAAAACTCCTAGAAGTACCAAAAATATGTTCTCAAAGTCTCAATCTGTATATCTTCTTCTTTTTGGAGAAATACGGGCTAAAATGAAGCATTTTACAGACTTTTGATGTTTTGAAGCAAAGTTTAAGGTCAATTAAAGCCTTTTTTTTCTGTTTTTCGTTTAACTTTCTCCTTTACAAGCTAACTATTTTCTGAAAAAGAGGCTAAAAGTGACGCATTTTATAGATTTTTGAAATTTTTGATAAAATGTCGCATTTTACTGATTTCGAAATTTTCAAAAAATGCCGCATTTCAGATTTCTAAAATTTTCAATAAAGTGTCGCATTTTAAAGATTTCTGAATTTTTTTTCCGCCTTTGATCCATTATTTTTCAAAAACTAGCAAGCTAAAATGACGCATTTCACAGATTTTCGACGTGATAGAGCAAAATTTGATGTTGCAGAACCCAAAAAAATCAGAAAAACCCCATTTTTCAAGAGAATTTTTCGTAACAGAAGAACCGTCAATTTTTGACCTTACCATCTGGAAAAAAAGGCGTTAATTCAGCGAAGATGACTTCAACACAAACGAGGAACAAACAACAATGGCAGGAGATCAAGAAAAGACGGGAAGTTTGCACCTGTTGGATGCGGATCGGGCCTCCAGCGGGAGCCAATCCCGGAGAACGGCGGCGGGCGGTTCTTCGGCCCGGGGCTTGGGGAACGGCGGCGGCGGCGGGAGGACGACCGGCTCCTCCTCCTTTTCCACCTTCTTAACAGGTAATTTTGGAGGGTTTGGAGTTTTCCAAGATTGTTGAACCGGTGGACGAGGCGGTGGAGGTGGGGGCGGAGATTTTTCCGCTTTGGCTTCGAAAACTGCCGTCGGGGTTCCGGAAATGTTGGATCTTTTTGGAGGAGGCGGCGGCGGAGGTGGAGAACGAGAAGTCACTGGAGACTGGGCGATCACCGGCGATGGCTTCTGAGAAATGAAAAACTTCAAAGAAGATCCAAACAATCGATTCAATGCATCCTTGTTAAAAAATAGATTTTTCGGGGATTTCCATCCAATTTTCCGTTCAAAATGAACCTTGACGATTAGAACCATAAATTGAGAAGAAAATGCAGTGAGAAAAGGAAATTTTGAGAATAAAAGGGTCATTTTGTTCAGTTTTTTTAACGAATGATAAGCTTGAAAATGCACAAAAGACAGCGAATCCGTTGACTAGAAAATGTCGAATCTCGCGAGAATAGGATAAAAATTTCACAAACTACAAATTTTTCCTAATTTGTAGCGTTTTTTTCTGTCCCCCTGTTGGCCTTTTATGAATAATTCTACACTAGAATCATCCGAAAATCCTCAAAAATAATAACTGAGATTGTCTTTGAACTATTCCTGTCCCTTTTCTCAAAACCCAAAAAAAAATTTTTTTAGAATTTGTAACTTTTTAGAGCTCCTACTGACTTTTCAGAATTTTCAAGGTTTTCCTACAGAATTTCCTCTTATAGTAAAGTAGGATCATCCTTAAGCCCCCTCTCAAATTCTCACCAAAACGGAGATTATCTACGAACTATTACGGTCCTTTTTTTCTCAAAAAAATTTCTTGATTCCACCCATTTATGGTAAATTATCCACTAAAACTTAAACCCCCTTCAAAAATATCCACCATGATCGGAGTGTTCGACGAGCTGTTGCTGGCACTGTTCGGCTTGCTGTTCGGAGTCGGCGGCGGCGGTGGCAGAGCTGCCACAGGCCGAGGAGCTGGGAGAGCCGCGGGGGGAGCTACAAAAGGCGGGGCTCCGACCGGCGGCGGCATTCCCATCATCCAGGGCGGCGGGGGCATCATCGGGAATGGGGGCGGACCCATTCCCATATGAGCCATGTGCATCATGTACGTCTGCTGGGCGACGACTTCGGGTGGCGGTTGGTCGAATCTTAATTGAAATTATTTAAAAAGGTTGGCCCACTAGTAGTTTGTATAAAAAAGCGTGTCTAAACCCTTCTCTTGGCAAAATTTTCTTATTTTCTTTCTTTAAAAAAACAAGCTAAGAAAAAGACGATTTTAGTGGCGGAACGATACCCCAAAGAGGCTCGGCGATATCGCGAACTTACCTCGGCAATATCGCGAATAGGTTCGGCGGTATCGCACTGTTTTCGCGGCGATATCACAAATGTGCCACGGTGATATTGCAAAAGTGCCGCGATGATTTCGCAAATGTGGCTCGGCGATATCGCAAATGTAGCGCAGCGATCTCGCATTTTTTTTGACGCGTTTTCGCTGTTCACTGTGACCGAAAAAACCTCAGATTTGCCGCGGTGATATCTTGAATTTGCCGCGGCAATATGGCGAACTTGCATACAAAACGCGGTTCATTTGCGATATCGCGAATATGCCGTGGCGATATCGCAAATGGACCGCGGCGATATCGCCAATTTACCGTGGCGATATCGCAAAGGTGCCGCGGTGATATCTCAAAAGTGAGGCGGCGATATCGCGAACGTGCCGCGGCTATATTGCATGTGTGCCGCGGTGATATTTCAAATTTGCCGCGGCGATGTCGCAAATGTGCCACGGTGATATCGCAAACGTGCCGCGGCGATATCGTGAAGTTACCGCGTATATCTCCAAAATGAGGCGGCGACATCGCCAATTTACCGCGGCAACATCGCGAATGTGCCGCGGCGATATCGCAAATGTATCGCGGCGAAATCACTAAAGTACCGTGGCGATATCGCAAATGTGCCGCGGCGATATCGCAAATGTACCGTGGCGATATCGCGAAAGTGCCGCGGCGATACCGCAAATGTGCCGCGGCGATATCGCAATAAATATGCTCCTATCTTCGATTCCAATTTTTTTTTTCCAAGCTAAATCATTGATTCCCAGGCACCTCGAGCGTCGTTTGACGCCGACAGGCGGCGCCGGGGCCATTTGCAGGTCTTTGGGAGGCGGCGGCGGTGGCGGCGAGGCGTTCCCTTTGATCCTGGGGGGAGGCGGGGGCGGCGGGAGGAGAGAAGTCTCGGAGTAGACTTTCTCGGGGTTCTGAGGCCGCGGAGTGGTGTCCGCACTTCGGAGAGGCTTCAGATCGGGCTCGGTCCGGGGCGGATTCCTGCGTTCTTCGTCTAGTCTACGTTGCTTAAGGGATTGCTCCTGGGCGGTGAATATTTGACCGAGAACGTCGGCGTTCTGCTCCTTTTTCGGCGCTGGTTTGGTCGTTTCTGGAAAAACGTGTTTGAATATCCAATAGTCGGAAAGAACTTTTTTTTTTTTTCTTTCTGGTCGTATTCAGATAACGAGACAAAAAGGGCCGTCAGAGAAGGAAAAAAATATAACGAATATTTTAGAGACTCAGAGATGACTTTCAAAGCGAGATTAACGATTTGAACTTTCTTGAGAGATTTGACCATTTAATTTGAAACTTTTTTTGAGTGAATGTTAGTGAAATAATCGTACGCCAATTTCTTTTATCCTTTTTGGATTCAGTGAATAAGAATTACATGACTCTCGGGATTTTTACCCTATAATTTTCTCTTTTCCTTCCAAAAATGATGATTTGAACCGAATTTTCTTCTTTCAAATTTGATTATAATCATGTTTCAGAACGTTAAGGCTCCATTTCGTTGAAAAAACGATGAAAATGGGAAAATCTATTACAACCGTTCATTTTGTCTCGTTTCAAATTTTAAAGCTTGAAAAACTAATGCGTTAAATGAAATTTTGTACATAGTTGGTGAGTTTTTCGAAATTTTTCTTTTTTTTTTCCCTTTTTTCTTCTCAAAAATCAGGTGAAAATGTAGATTTAAACCTAGTTTTTTTCTTACCAATCCAATTATAATCTTTTTTCTAGGTTCAGAACAATTTTAAGTCAACATTTCCCGAAAAAAATCGATAAAATTGCAGAAAATTTAGCGAAATCGAATTTTTTAAAGTTTTTTTTTTTTGAGTATCTCTTCTGGTGAAAAAAAAACTTTTCAGTTCAAAAAACACCTAAAAGTTATCTTTTGCGTTCATTTTTCTCTACTTTTTCTGCATTTCCTAACATAAAAACCAACTTCTCCAGTCGGGTTTGGTCAGGACAACCGGTTTATCGCCGATAATTTCGTCTAGGACGGTTTTTCCCGACATTTGAGGCCGGCGTGGAAGCGTTGGAAGGCTCTAAAAGTTCATAATCAATGAAAAAAATTTTTGATTTTTTTGTTAGAATTTTACTTTTGACCGGGGGTTGAGTGGCCGAGGATGTAGAGGGCTCTGAAATCCGGGTTTTCGGGGAAGAAGTGGTCGCTTCTTCCGTCATTTGTTTCTCGCGTTTGTACTGAAATCGAAATTTCACGAATATCGATTTTTTTTTAAAAACCTCAGCCATCATCGCCGACCATTTATGCTTAGTGGTGATCATTTGTGGCGGGGGCGGCAATTTCGGTTTTGAAGGTCTAAAAAAATTGAGAAAAATAATTTTTTTGAGACTTTTTATGAGTCAAGTACAGCTTTTTTTAAAAGAAAAATTATTTTTAGGAGGTGCAAAAAAAGAAATGAAAAAAAGCTTTAAAGAAACCAGTAAGTAAAAAATACAAGATCCTTATCCTTTTTTTCAAAAAAACGCCTTCTCAGGAACATCAGAAAAGGAAAAAAATTGGTTTTCAAAGCTTAAAAAAACAGAAAAAAATGTGTTCAAAAAAATTGAAATTGGCCAAAAAAATTCCCGTGAAAGTGTGCTCCATGGAGAAAGGGAATCTAGACACTTTTTTTAAAACTTTTTGACTTTTTTTCTTGAATCTCAATGAAAAAAACTATTCATAAAAAAATGAAATCTAGCAGAAAAATTCACATCTTTCAACTTTTTTTCTTGAAGATCGGAAAAATTTTTTTCAAAAAAATAAATCAGGCCAGAAATTCAAGTGAAACTGCGCTCCATGGAGAAATGGAATCTAGACACTTTTTTTCAAAACTTCTAACATTGTGTTATTGAAGATCGGTGGAAAATCGTTCAAAAAAAAAAAAATGACGCCTGGCCGAAAATTCACATGAAAGTGCGCTCCGTGGACAAATGCGAGGAATGTTCCCAATTTTTTTCCTTTCAACATTTCTAACGTTAATTTCTTGAAAATCCATGAAATAATGTTCAAACTCTTCAAAAAATGGGGTCTGGCAAAAAAAAAAAATGGAGTCTGGCCAAAAGTGCCTATGAAAGTGTGCTCCGTGGATAAATGCAAGAAATGGTTCCACTTTTATTGTCTTGTAAAGCTTCTAACACTGAGTTACTGAAGCTCGATGAAAAACTGTTCAAAAAAATGAAGCCTGGCCGAAAATTCACATGAAAGTGCGCTCCGTGGACAATAGTGATCTAGATACCATTTTTTCGAAACTTTCAACTTTTTTTGAACTCGAAGAAAATTTGTTCAAAAAAGGGGATCTGGCCAAAAATTCCTATGAAAGTGCGCTCCGTGGATAATTGCGAGAAACGGTTCCATTTTTTTATTGATAAAGTTCTCAATTTTCGAATTTTTTCTTAAGATCTTTCTTCCCAGCCGTATTGGAATATTTTTTCAAATAATCTTTTTTTTTTGGAAAGACTGACGGCTTGGCCAACGTCGAGACGGCCTTCTTTTTGATGGTCGGAGTGGCCGAAGCGCTGGAATTCGAGCCGGAATCGTTGTCGAAAAACGTCGGGAATCGAAATCGAGAGAGACGTTGGCCGTTCGGTGGCCTGGAAAAAAACTAGCATTAAAAAAAGGTCTGGCTGTGAAAGACTTTTTAAGTTTGTGAATAAAATAATTTTTGGTTGTATTATTTTCATTCTTTCACAAGCCGTAACGTTCGAATTTCAATTTCAAAGTCAAAAAAACGATTCTAACATCGAAAGTTCATCAACAAAAATCACCTTTTTTTGTCTTATTTTGTCTGATTTTCATTCGAAAAATTTGAGAGAAACAAGAAAAAAATAATAATTTTTACTGAGGAAACCCAACTCAAACTTCTCTTTTTTTAAATATATTCATTATTTGCTTCAAAACTAATAATAATCCTAATTCGTTCCGTTCTCACTGATTTTTTTCTGACCAACTCAAACTCGAAAAATCTTCTTACACATTTATATTCTATTCAATTTTTTTAATATAGAATGTCAACTAGTAGATGAAAAAGTTGAATGAAAAAAATTGAAAATTATCTTTTTCTCACACATCCTTTTTTTACCTTTTTGAATCTGTTTCACTAACCTTTTTTTCACTAAACTCAAACCATTTTTTTCGCTCAAAAAAATTGTCTAATTTGGCCCCTTTTTTTTTCCTTATTTTCTTACAAACTACAAAACAGAAATAATTCTACCTAAAAAAATTTATTTTTCTATCCAATTTTTCACCCTTGACCAAGAACTAATTTTTTTGAAGTAAGGCTTTCAATTTATTTCAATTTTCATTCGTAAAGTAAGAACAAGATGAATTGTTGGTTCGTAAAATTGAAAATTAGCGTTTTGCGTTTTTTTCCGCTTTTTTTAACGTTTTTTTTTACTTACCTTTCAAACTTTCTAACACTTTTTTGCTTAGAGACTGGCTAATATAACTCACTTTTCCCCAATTTCTCACCGACTCATGTAGAATTTTTCGCTTTTTGCTTCAAAATCATCGATTTTCGTCTCGATTTTTTTTTCTTATTTTCTGACCATAAAAGACAAATTGAAGCTTCCTACTTTTCCTTCCGTCAATATTCTCGTTTTTTGCTTCGAAATGAGCCATTTTTTTCTCAATTTTTTTCTTATTTTCAGACCGTAAAAGAAAAATTGGAGCTTCCTACTTTTTATCATCGTTTTTTTTGCTTGAATATTCGCTAATTTACCCCCCTTTTTTTTTCCCATTATTCTCACCGATTCGTGTCGATTCCTCTTGGGTCGACCCTCCTCCGGCGTCGGATCTTCCACTTTTTTGCTTTTGCTCTCTTTTCGTTTCTCCGTTGGATCGATCGATTTCTGAGAAAAATCAATATATATTTTTTTCGAATCTTATCCAACCGAATCCTCCATCTTCTTCCTTTTCGCGTCGGGAGCCCCATTTTCGGCGGCCTGAAGTCGGGCCTCCCGTTCTTTTTCCTTCTCCGGAGCTTCATAGTCCGAATCGTGGTCTTCCTTCTGATATTTTTATTTATTAATTTTTTTCTTTCGACATTTTTTTTTAAAACCACAGGCTCCTGAGGCTCATCCTCCATAGGTTCTTCTTCATCTGGGGGCACTTCCATCGAATCCGCCAAGGAAATTTCAACGACATTCCTCCGGGAACGCTTGATATTCACTGGCGAGTACCGTTCCCGCTGGAAATTTTCAATAAGTTTTCCCCTTTTTTCGATAAAATTTTGTGTTACAGATAATATAAAACAGTCAAAAATGGCTACTTCAAGAAATCGACAGAAAAAATTCGGGATAAGCTTGAAATGGTCAAAAAAAAAACTCTTAGCGTCCTTTCAAGGCAACTTTTATCGAAACGGTATTCATAAAAAGCAAAAAAAGGCTTGCACCTTGAAAATAGTGGAAAAAAGAATTCTTTTAGCTTTTTCCAAGGATCTTTTGCTTTAAAGGGGATCTTGAAGAGGATAAGAAAATAAAAAAACTTGAAAATATTGACTCAAACCAAGAAAAAAAAAACTTTAGCGTCGTTTCCAAGAACTTTTTTGTAAAAAGAGTAGCTCTAAAAAGAAAAAATGTTTTCTTTGGAAGAAACGAAAACTCAAAAACTAATGCATTCAACCTTGAAAAATATGAAAATAAAACTTTTAGCGGGGGCTTTCTCAGTCATTTTCTGTAATAAAAAGCCTTCTAGGAGGCAAAAAAAGTGGAAAAAATTTTTAAATGAAATAATCTGAAAAATTCGATTTTAAAAAAATTTCACGTTCTCGAAAAATTGAAGGCGGTTTCGAAAAAAAGATTGAAAAATTGAGCTTTTTTTGCTAAAAAAAATCTCAGTAAGTTCTAGATTTACTTCCGAAAAACCTTCAAAAAGGCAAAAAAAAAGGGGGAAGCTGAAATTTTCATTTCAAAAAATGTTTAAATTCACTTTTTTGCCCGCCCCGTGCACTTGAAAATCTCAGAAAGCTGGATTTTTTTCCAGGATCTTAAAAAAA